GTCCACTGCGCATCGCATCTTCAAAACGGTCCAAATAAGAATGAATATCATCCTGGATACCAAGGTAAGGTAACCTTGGCTTGTAGTTGCTCAAATCATGATCACCATAATCTTTGTTACCTTCCTTTGCATCCGCCGTCTTGCTGGCCTCTGCCAGAGCTACAGCCCTATCTCTTTCGATCCTAGCTAATTCCAGCTCTTTATTAGCTGTAACTGTCATGGCTTCTACCTCTGCCATCTCCCTCCTATGGGCCCTCTCCGCAGCTCTCTCTTCCCTCATGGCGGCCTCTCTTTCAGATAGCTCTCTCATCCTAGCCTCTGCGAAGGTGACTACATGTTCTGCCTCCAGGCCTAGGTCTCTAGCCATCTGAACGAATTCGCTGAATGACATGTCAGTATTTTTACGCGGTATGACGAGATGCTATAAAATGGCACACTAATCACGCACGGAGACCTTTACAATATTCACGTAGCCTAAACGTAACTGGACGACCTAAACACACTACTTTGACGATGAATAACAGATCAAAAGACAAGAAACATAGGGCTACCAAGCATACACAATGCAGCGAACAATGCAATAAACTTTTGAATCCAAAAACTAACCACAAAGTACATCACCTCATGAATATCGCATCCAAACAATGATGGTGAAGCATTTCCAATTCACACTCAGAAGCAGCTTAGCGGAAATCGATCGCTCCACTCACAGGAATACCGCAACTGTAAATATCAGCTGATCAGCGCTCTTCATTAAACACGCTTGAAACATGACACACGGCTAGCATCCATCCTTGCAAAACCATATTTGATCTCCTTCAGTGTCACTACATGCTTCACAGTTCATTGACTTTAGGTAAGTGGTTTCCTGGCTTGACCTCGAAGAAAAAGATCACAGCAAAGTCAAGTTCTCCACTGCGACGTCTCCGCTTGACGGCCTTGATCTCAGTGACGCAACACGGGTTGACTTCGATGACAGGCGATGATATCTCCTCCCAGCGACTAATTCTGTGGGCAAGACTTTGGTTCCCAATGAAGAATTCTCTAGGCCAGATTTCAGTGCCTAATTATGAATTCTCTGGGACAGGCTTCGGCCCCCATTGACGATACCTCTGACTAAAGAACTAAACCAATGGGACAAAATGTCGTATCACACTTGTGACCAGAGGTCCCTCACTCTTTAAAGGCTTGGCTCCCCATTGACGTGTGCGAATGTTCGCTTGATACAACGCACACTTGCCAAGTATCCATGGTATGTTAAATAGTGTTACAGTAACAAGTCACCATTCCCGCCCAACAGCAATAAGGACGCCGGATACATGTTGAACGTCAAACAGAATTAATGTATCCCTAATTTCAACACCAAAACAATGAAAGGCATCACGAGAATAAAACGTTACACCGCCACAGTCATTACTACTGGCAAGGCAACACACACTACGGACGCTCTGGGCTACTTTTACTGCCACCCTGTTCCGTGGTCAACTACGAGCAAACATTACCTGCTCGTGCAAACTCACTGCTCGTGATTATGTGTCTACCTCTATGACACCCATCCCTTGGGTACACTGTCATAGCAGAAATTATACAGGCCGATGCACAGTACATTGTGAAACTTGTCCAGACCTTTCGTCTGCGGCCACACGAGCGTCTGTCACGCTGGCGCGACCGCTGTAACAACACTCACAGACAGCCCGTACCCTACCGCCAGCGTAACACAGTTATGCAGGACCAGCCTGGATCCATCCAGATTAGAACAGGCTTCCTACACAGCGTAGTAGAGTCCACCGTTACTCACTCTCTCTCTCTCTCTCTACATCACGTTCAATGTGTGCGCACCGCACCAAGTCCCACGTTCAACAATGAACTTCCCTTCCCATATATTGCACACAACACTTAGAAATGTGCCAAATGCCTACAAACATGTGAATGGACATACAGTAAACACATGTACAACAAGCTTAGAAATGTGCCAAATGCCTACAAACATGTGAATGGACATACAGTAAACACATGTACAACAAGCTTAGAAATGTGCCAAATGCTTACAAACATTGAGCAAACATGTGAATGGACATACAGTAAACACATGTACAACAAGCTTAGAAATGTGGCAAATGCCTACAAACATTGAGCAAACATGTGAATGGACATACAGTAAACACATGTACAACAAGCTTAGAAATGTGCCAAATGCTTACAAACATTGAGCAAACATGTGAATGGACATACAGTAAACACATGTACGACAAGCTTAGAAATGTGCCAAATGCTTACAAACATTGAGCAAACATGTGAATGGACATACAGTAAACACATGAACAACAAGCTTAGAAATGTGCCAAATTCTTACAAACATGTGAATGGACATACAGTAAACACATGTACAACAAGCTTAGAAATGTGCCAAATGCTTACAAACATTGAGCAAACATGTGAATGGACATACAGTAAACACATTTACAACAAGCTTAGAAATGTGCCAAATGCCTACAAACATTGAGCAAACATGTGAATGGATATACAGTAAACACATGTACAACAAGCTTAGAAATGTGCCAAATGCCTACAAACATGTGAATGGACATACAGTAAACACATGAACAACAAGCTTAGAAATGTGCCAAATGCCTACAAACATGTGAATGGACATACAGTAAACACATGTACAACAAGCTTAGAAATGTGCCAAATACCTACAAACATTGAGCAAACATGTGAATGGACATACAGTAAACACATGTACAACAAGCTTAGAAATGTGCCAAATGCCTAAAAACATGTGAATGGACATACAGTAAACACATGTACAACAAGCTTAGAAATGTGCCAAATGCCTACAAACATTGAGCAAACATGTGAATGGACATACAGTAAACACATGTACAACAAGCTTAGAAATGTGCCAAATGCCTACAAACATTGAGCAAACATGTGAATGGACATACAGTAAACACATGTACAACAAGCTTAGAAATGTGCCAAATGCCTACAAACATTGAGCAAACATGTGAATGGATATACAGTAAACACATGTACAACAAGCTTAGAAATGTGCCAAATGCCTACAAACATGTGAATGGACATACAGTAAACACATGAACAACAAGCTTAGAAATGTGCCAAATGCCTACAAACATGTGAATGGACATACAGTAAACACATGAACAACAAGCTTAGAAATGTGCCAAATGCCTACAAACATGTGAATGGACATACAGTAAACACATGTACAACAAGCTTAGAAATGTGCCAAATACCTACAAACATTGAGCAAACATGTGAATGGACATACAGTAAACACATGTACAACAAGCTTAGAAATGTGCCAAATGCCTAAAAACATGTGAATGGACATACAGTAAACACATGTACAACAAGCTTAGAAATGTGCCAAATGCCTACAAACATTGAGCAAACATGTGAATGGACATACAGTAAACACATGTACAACAAGCTTAGAAATGTGCCAAATGCCTACAAACATGTGAATGGACATACAGTAAACACATGTACAACAAGCTTAGAAATGTGCTAAATGCTTACAAACATTGAGCAAACATGTGAATGGACATACAGTAAACACATGTACAACAAGCTTAGAAATGTGCCAAGTGCCTACAAACATGTGAATGGACATACAGTAAACACATGTACAACAAGCTTAGAAATGTGCCAAATGCCTACAAACATGTGAATGGACATACAGTAAACACATGTACAACAAGCTTAGAAATGTGCCAAATGCTTACAAACATTGAGCAAACATGTGAATGGGCAAACAGTAAACACATGTACAACAAGCTTAGAAATGTGCCAAATGCTTACAAACATTGAGCAAACATGTGAATGGACATACAGTAAACACATGTACAACAAGCTAGAAATGTGCCAAATGCTTACAAACATTGAGCAAACATGCAGACATGCAGTAAACCTACTTGGTTGAATATGTCCTCTCTCTATTGTCACCTGGTGACATATGTCCTCTCTCTATTGTCACCTGGTGACATATGTCCTCTCTCTATTGTCACCTGGTGACATATGTCCTCTCTCTATTGTCACCTGGTGACATATGTCCTCTCTCTATTGTCACCTGGTGAAATATGTCCTCTCTCTATTGTCACCTGGTGACATATGTCCTCTCTCTATTGTCACCTGGTGACATATGTCCTCTCTCTATTGTCACCTGGTGACATATGTCCTCTCTCTACTGTCACCTGGTGACATATGTCCTCTCTCTATTGTCACCTGGTGACATATGTCCTCTCTCTATTGTCACCTGGTGACATATGTCCTCTCTCTATTGTCACCTGGTGACATATGTCCTCTCTCTATTGTCACCTGGTGACATATGTCCTCTCTCTATTGTCACCTGGTGACATATGTCCTCTCTCTATTGTCACCTGGTGACATATGTCCTCTCTCTATTGTCATCTGGTGACATATGTCCTCTCTCTATTGTCACCTGGTGACATATGTCCTCTCTCTATTGTCACCTGGTGACATATGTCCTCTCTCTATTGTCACCTGGTGACATATGTCCTCTCTCTATTGTCACCTGGTGACATATGTCCTCTCTCTACTGTCACCTGGTGACATATGTCCTCTCTCTATTGTCACCTGGTGACATATGTCCTCTCTCTATTGTCACCTGGTGACATATGTCCTCTCTCTATTGTCACCTGGTGACATATGTCCTCTCTCTATTGTCACCTGGTGACATATGTCCTCTCTCTATTGTCACCTGGTGACATATGTCCCTCTCTCTACTGTCACCTGGTGACATATGTCCTCTCTCTATTGTCACCTGGTGACATATGTCCTCTCTCTATTGTCACCTGGTGACATATGTCCTCTCTCTATTGTCACCTGGTGACATATGTCCTCTCTCTATTGTCACCTGGTGACATATGTCCTCTCTATCTGTTTTCACATACTGAAATGTGTCCTTTGTACGTGGTAATAGCTCAGTGAAATATTTACTTTCTGTTTTTCAGGTTGAGGACAATTTAAGCAATGGCAGAACTCTATTCACCGCATCGCTAACTTTGACCAATGGATGCAGTGTGACCCTGGGATATTCTCCATCATCTTTGTGGTCCATCTATTTCTCACATCTGCGAATGGTGGAGCCACACTTTCTCCCGCAGGATGATGGGGTCGACCTAGAGCATGCAGGTGTTCGTTTGTCCCACCACAGTAGCTGTATCTTCAAGCTGTCTCCACTCAAGAGTTTCACACCCTTACATCAGGGGCAGTCCTTAACATTTCAGTTCAATGCCCAACATTACTCAGCATCCAGATCTGACATTTTGCCCAACTGGTACATCCACATTGAAGGACTGCAGCCTAGAATCATCAAAAGCACGACTGGAGAATCACTGGATTTTGTGGGCCCTTTTGACACACCAAAACGCTACAAACGATTTGATTACACATTACCTTCAGGGAAACGACGTTACGACATCTACCAGCCTTTTACCCCAGAAGTCCGGTTTTTCAGGTATCCAGAAGACAAATCCAGCAGTGTCCACATGAAGATTGTCATTCCAACACCAGTCCATTATGATGTCCGCAGTGATAGAACAGTGACCATAACCACCCAGTTTTGGAAGATTTCTTGTCAGGATCAATTCCTGAAAGAGGCTCACTATTTGTCAGGTATGTCATTGCCTAATATGTTTGTATGGGTTCACAGACATTGCCTTATGGGTTTACAAACATTGTCTGTATGGGTTAACAGATATTGCCTGTATGGATTCACAGACATTGCCTGTATCGGTTCAAAGTTGTTGCCTGTATGGGTTCACAGATATTGCCTGTATGGGTTCACAGACATTGCTATAGTGGAGCAGACATCAGAGTGGAGCAGACATCAGATTGTAGCAGACATCAGAGTGGAACAGACATCACAGTTGAGCAGACATCAGAGTGGAACAGTCATCAATGTGAAACAGACATCACAGTTGAGCAGACATCAGAGTGGGACAGAAATCAGAGTGGAACAGACATCAGAGTGCAACAGACATCACAGTTAAGCAGACATCAGTGTGGAACAGACATCAAAGTGGAACATACATCACAGTTGAGCAGATATCAGAGTGGAACAGACATCACAGTTGAGCAGATATCAGAGTGGAACAGATATCAGAGTAGAGCAGACATTGGAGTGGAACAGACATCAGAGTGGAACAGACATCAGAGTGGAACAGACATCAGAGTGGAGCAGATATCAGAGTGGAGCAGACATCAGAGTGGAACAGACATCAGAGTGGAGCAGATATCAGATTGGAATAGACATCAGAGTAGAGCAGACATCAGAGTGGAACAGACATCACAGTTGAGCAGATATCAGAGTGGAACAGACATTAGAGTTAAGCAGACATCAGAGTGGAACAGACATCAGAGTGGAGCAGACATCAGAGTGGAACAGACATCACAGTGGAGCAGACATCAGAGTGGAACAGACATCAGAGTGGAGCAGACATTAGAGTGGAGCAGACATTAGAGTGGAACAGACATCAGAGTGGAGCAGACATCAGAGTGGAGCAGACTTCAGAGTGGAGCAGACTTCAGAGTGGAGCAGACATGTCTTCAAAACAACAGGTAAAACATAGTTATTCTTGGATTCTACCGAGGGTAAAGCTCTCACAGTGAATGAAAGCCACCATGTCAAGGCAGTGCTATGCCCTAGGTCCCCAAGGCTCACTGTTGCTCCTTCATGGCTGGACAGTTTTCTTCAAGCTTGCAGAGAGCATAGTTTGTCATTGTAACTTATACAGTGACATGTCGTGTCACAGTGACAGCTGCAGTCTCTACCATGTCATATTGCTTGAGATAGTTTTGAACTGGTGACATCTTTGACTGTTGCTGTCATCAGCTGTTTCCTTCCTAGGACATTTTGTACTGTTAGGTTCTGCAGGGCACCTGAATCAAAATAATCAGCTCAGTCGTTGGGTCAGTGGCTGGCACATGTTACAGTTGACCAGGACAACCAGGGAGACTCAGCATAAAACACATACCAGGAAATGTACAGGGAAGTCAAGATAGTCTACCATCTCTCCCAGCCAGCACTGACAGGTTTAGAAAGATATGGTTCTGCCACTATATACCCAACCTTCGTTAGATTGTGAACATGAGACCTGTCCATTTTGGTCCCTCTCCTTTGCCCAACGCACCACGAGGCAGATTAGGCTGAAAATATCTAGCCAGTTTCTGGACAAAACATGATCACTGAAAGAAACAAAACTGTCATGTTGCTGTTTGATAGATAAAGACAGTGCATGATCACACTTTTACCCCTTCATCCCGAAAACAATATTTTTTATAGAGAAAACACCTATCCACCCCCCCCCCCCCAACCAGTCAACCCAGCCTCAACCAGTCAACCAAGCCCCAACCAGTCAACCCAGCCCCTTTATCCTACAAATGACTGATAGAAAAAAGTCAGAGAATCCCTGAAAACAATCCTTTTTTTTTAAATATTTAAATTTATACACAGATCACTAATAAATTGGGGGAAAAAACATTTCTATGTTTCAATTGTTTTGGGTGAAATAAATCTTGCTGAGTTTACAGTGAATCTAAACAGAGTGAAGAATGACATGGACCATTTGTTAACCCCTCACATAATGCTTCAAGTCACAGTGGACACTAGGCACGACCACTTTTTTTTTTTTTTTTTTAAGCCGTGGCAGTTCTGCCAGGCGGTGGCCGTTGCATTTTTGCTCCATTTGTAGACTGGAAGGATATAGTTTCGTCACCCAGCTTCTGAGTTGAGTGCATGGTGTGACACTGTGAGCTACGAGTGTTTTTCGTTGGCACAGGAGCGGAGCAACAATGGGGTGACCCTTTTGCTATGATGCTGAAACTAGGATTACCAGATTACCAGATGGACCTAAAGAAATCCTGTATCACTCCACCCTATGATCTCATCACCATGCAACTGCTCAGCCTGTGTACAGTTTGAAGGCAGAACAACCTTTAAGAAAGCAATTTGTTCATTCACAGTTAAACAAAAATGAATGCTATTTTGAATCAATATAATTATATCGGGGACACTGAACACTGAACACTGAACACTGAACACTGAACACTGAACACTGAACACTGAACAAGTGCATCAGGAACCAATGACACTGCTCAGAGACAAGTCCTGCAGAGTGCCAGTTAGTGGCATTTATAGGAATCTGTAACATGTTGGGGGCTGCAGCTCCTCAGGGCCAATTGGTTGCACACATTCTGTTGACAGCTAGCAGGGCTGTGTGAGGCTGGAGAGAATCCATACTTTGCTTTCAAATATCATTGAGTGAAATAGTTTTATTTCTGTTATCTTGCTGCATCTAAAAGTGCAACTATAAGTGTATCTATGTCAGCCTATTCATATTTGTGTCTCTGACCATGGTAAAACATTTTTAGTTTCACTGATGTCTGCTTGTTACTATCACTGGCAGAAAAGTCTGGCATTTCCTTGTCAAAAGAGACATTATCAAGCTGTGACTATGATAAAAAGCCAGCAAAAATCATTGCACTTCGAGAGGCTGATGTGAGACCGGCCTTAGCTGGTTGTTTACGATTGGAGGCATACGAAGTCATGGTTGATACATCAAGCGAATACATCCAGGTTTGTTTTGTGATCTGTGTCCATGCTTTGATGGCAGCCAAATATTTTTACTCTGATTTGATTGCATTTCTCTGTGGCTTTATTTTTGTTGCTTGGGTGTCCATGACAGCATCTTTTGCTTCTGTCTTGTCTACATTTGTTTTTGTATGTCACTCTAATGTGTTTATGACAGTTTTACTGTCATCTTTTTCCTGAAAATTTTAATTTTTCTGATTTAATTTTTGGTTGTTTAGGACAGAGTTAACATTTTAGCCTACTACTCAAGATTGTCCATATTTAAATGTTTGTTCGTGTAAATGCAAGCGTGTTTCTACCTCTCTAGAGTTTACTTCTATTCTCCTCTTCTTTCTTTTTTTATTTTTTATTTCTCTTGTTTCTTTGTTGTTGCTCTACTGTCTACCCACATGTGTGGGCTGTGGAGAAGCTGTTTGTTACCTCCACTGTTCTACCTCATGTGTGGGCTGTAGAGAAGCTGTTTGTTACCTCCACTGTTCTACCTCATGTGTGGCTGTAGAGAAGCTGTTGTTTGTTACCTCCACTGTTCTACCTCATGTGTGGGCTGTAGAGAAGCTGCTGTTTGTTACCTCCATGTGTGGGCTGTGTGTTTTGTTACCTCCACTGTTCTACTCCATGTGTGGGCTGTAGAGAAGCTGTTGTTGTTTTGTTACCATGTGTCCACTGTTCTTTGTTACCTCATGTGTGGGCTGTAGAGAAGCTGTTTGTTACCTCCACCACTGTTCTGTAGAGAAGCTGTTGTTTGTTACCTCTGTGTGTGGCTGTGTTTTGTTGTTGTTACCTCCACTGTTCTACCCCATGTGTGAGCTCCAGATGACTCCATGTGCTGTAGAGAAGCTGTTGTTTGTTACCTCCACTGTTTTACCCCATGTGTGGGCTGTAGAGAAGCTGTTGTTTGTTACCTCCACTGTTCTACTCCATGTGTGGGCTGTAGAGAAGCTGTTGTTTGTTACCTCCACTGTTCTACTCCATGTGTGGGCTGTAGAGAAGCTGTTTGTTTGTTACTGTGTGTCCACTGTTTGTTACCTCCACTGTGTGTGGGCTGTAGAGAAGCTGTTGTTTGTTACCTCCACTGTTCTACCTCATGTGTGGGCTGTAGAGAAGCTGTTGTTTGTTACCTCCACTGTTCTACCTCATGTGTGGGCTGTAGAGAAGCTGTTTGTTACCTCCACTGTTCTACCTCATGTGTGGGCTGTAGAGAAGCTGTTGTTTGTTACCTCCACTGTTCTACCTCATGTGTGGGCTGTAGAGAAGCTGTTGTTTTGTTTACCTCATGTGTGGGCTGTAGAGAAGCTGTTGTTTGTTACCTCCACCTCCATGTGTGGGCTGTAGAGAAGCTGTTGTTTGTTACCTCCACTGTTCTACCTCATGTGTGGGCTGTAGAGAAGCTGTTGTTTGTTACCTCCACTGTTCTACCTCATGTGTGGGCTGTAGAGAAGCTGTTTGTTACCTCCACTGTTCTACCTCATGTGTGGGCTGTAGAGAAGCTGTTTGTTACCTCCACTGTTCTACCTCATGTGTGGGCTGTAGAGAAGCTGTTGTTTGTTACCTCCACTGTTCTACCCCGTGTGTGAGCTGTAGAGAAGCTGTTGTTTTGGACCTCCACTGTTCTACCTCATGTGTGAGCTGTAGAGAAGCTGTTGTTTGGGACCTCCACTGTTCTACCTCATGTGTGAGCTGTAGAGAAGCTGTTGTTTGTTACCTCCACTGTTCTACCTCATGTGTGGGCTGTAGAGGGCTGTTGTTTGTTACCTCCACTGTTCTACCTCATGTGTGGGCTGTAGAGAAGCTGTTGTTTGTACCTTGTTACCTCCACTGTTCTACCTCATGTGTGGGCTGTAGAGAAGCTGTTGTTTGTTACCTCCACTGTTGTTACCTCATGTGTGGGCTGTAGAGAAGCTGTTGTTTGTTACCTCCACTGTTCTACCTCATGTGTGGGCTGTAGAGAAGCTGTTGTTGTTACCTCCACTGTTCTACCTCATGTGTGGGCTGTAGAGAAGCTGTTGTTTTGTTACCTCCACTGTTCTACCTCATGTGTGGGCTGTAGAGAAGCTGTGTTTGTTACCTCCACTGTTCTACCTCCATGTGTGGGCTGTAGAGAAGCTGTTTACCTCCACTGTTCTACCTCATGTGTGGGCTGTAGAGAAGCTGTTGTTTGTTACCTCCACTGTTCTACCTCATGTGTGGGCTGTAGAGAAGCTGTTGTTTGTTACCTCCACTGTTCTACCTCATGTGTGGGCTGTAGAGAAGCTGTTTGTTACCTCCACTGTTCTACCTCATGTGTGGGCTGTAGAGAAGCTGTTGTTTGTTACCTCCACTGTTCTACCTCATGTGTGGGCTGTAGAGAAGCTGTTGTTTGTTACCTCCACTGTTCTACCTCATGTGTGGGCTGTAGAGAAGCTGTTGTTTGTTACCTCCACTGTTCTACCTCATGTGTGGGCTGTGTGTGGGCTGTAGTAGAGAAGCTGTTGTTTGTTACCTCCACTGTTCTACCTCATGTGTGGGCTGTAGAGAAGCTGTTGTTTGTTACCTCCACTGTTCTACCTCATGTGTGGGCTGTAGAGAAGCTGTTGTTTGTTACCTCCACTGTTACCTACCTCATGTGTGGGCTGTAGAGAAGCTGTTGTTTGTTACCTCCACTGTTTTACCTCATGTGTGGGCTGTAGAGAAGCTGTTTGTTACCTCCACTACCTACCTCATGTGTGGGCTGTAGAGAAGCTGTTGTTTGTTACCTCCACTGTGTGGGCTGTAGAGAAGCTGTTTGTTTGTTACCTCCACTGTTCTACCCCATGTGTGGGCTGTAGAGAAGCTGTTGTTTGTTACCTCCACTGTTCTACCTCATGTGTGGGCTGTAGAGAAGCTGTGTTGTGTTTACCTCCACTGCTACCTCATGTGTGGGCTGTAGAGAAGCTGTTTGTTACCTCCACTGTTCTACCTCATGTGTGGGCTGTGGAGAAGCTGTTGTTTGTTACCTCCACTGTTCTACCTCATGTGTGGGCTGTAGAGAAGCTGTTGTTTGTTACCTCCACTGTTCTACCTCATGTGTGGGCTGTAGAGAAGCTGTTGTTTGTTACCTCCACTGTTCTACCTCATGTGTGGGCTGTAGAGAAGCTGTTGTTTGTTACCTCCACTGTTCTACCTCATGTGTGGGCTGTAGAGAAGCTGTTGTTTGTTACCTCCACTGTTCTACCTCATGTGTGGGCTGTAGAGAAGCTGTTGTTTGTTACCTCCACTGTTCTACCTCATGTGTGGGCTGTAGAGAAGCTGTTTGTTACCTCCACTGTTCTACCTCATGTGTGGGCTGTAGAGAAGCTGTTGTTTGTTACCTCCACTGTTCTACCCCATGTGTGGGCTGTAGAGAAGCTGTTTGTTACCTCCACTGTTCTACCTCATGTGTGGGCTGTAGAGAAGCTGTTGTTTGTTACCTCCACTGTTCTACCTCATGTGTGGGCTGTAGAGAAGCTGTTGTTTGTTACCTCCACTGTTCTACCTCATGTGTGGGCTGTAGAGAAGCTGTTGTTTTGTACCTCCACTGTTCTACCTCATGTGTGGGCTGTAGAGAAGCTGTGTTTGTTTTGTTACCTCCACTGTTCTACCCCATGTGTGAGCTGTAGAGAAGCTGTTGTTTGGGACCTCCACTGTTCTACCTCATGTGTGAGCTGTAGAGAAGCTGTTGTTTGTTACCTCCACTGTTCTACCCCGTGTGTGAGCTGTAGAGAAGCTGTTTGTTACCTCCACTGTTCTACCTCATGTTGTGGGCTGTGGGCTGTAGAGAAGCTGTTGTTTGTTACCTCCACTGTTCTACCTCATGTGTGGGCTGTAGAGAAGCTGTTGTTTGTTACCTCCACTGTTCTACCTCATGTGTGGGCTGTAGTTTGTTACCTCCAGAATGTGTGGGCTGTTGTTTGTTACCTCCACTGTTCTACCTCATGTGTGGGCTGTAGAGAAGCTGTTGTTTGTTACCTCCACTGTTCTACCTCATGTGTGGGCTGTAGAGAAGCTGTTGTTTGTTACCTCCACTGTTCTACCTCATGTGTGGGCTGTAGAGAAGCTGTTGTTTGTTACCTCCACTGTTCTACCTCATGTGTGGGCTGTAGAGAAGCTGTTTGTTGTTTGTTACCTCCACTGTTCTACCTCATGTGTGGGCTGTAGAGAAGCTGTTGTTTGTTACCTCCACTGTTCTACCTCATGTGTGGGCTGTAGAGAAGCTGTTGTTTGTTACCTCCACTGTTTTACCTCATGTGTGGGCTGTAGAGAAGCTGTTGTTTGTTACCTCCACTGTTCTACCTCATGTGTGGGCTGTAGAGAAGCTGTTGTTTGTTACCTCCACTGTTTTACCTCATGTGTGGGCTGTAGAGAAGCTGTTGTTTGTTACCTCCACTGTTCTACCTCATGTGTGGGCTGTAGAGAAGCTGTTGTTACCTTTGTTTACCTCCACTGTTTGTTCTACCTCATGTGTGGCTGTGTAGAGAAGCTGTTGTTTGTTACCTCCACTGTTCTACCCTGGGCTGTAGAGAAGCTGTTGTGTGGGCTGTGGGCTGAGAAGCTGTGTTGTTACCTCCACTGTTCTACCCCATGTGTGGGCTGTAGAGAAGCTGTTGTTTGTTACCTCCACTGTTCTACCTCATGTGTGGGCTGTAGAGAAGCTGTTGTTTGTTACCTCCACTGTTCTACCTCATGTGTGGGCTGTAGAGAAGCTGTTGTTTGTTACCTCCACTGTTCTACCTCATGTGTGGGCTGTAGAGAAGTTGTTTGTTACCTCCACTGTTCTACCTCATGTGTGGGCTGTAGAGAAGTTGTTTGTTACCTCCACTGTTCTACCTCATGTGTGGGCTGTGGAGAAGCTGTTTGTTACCTCCACTGTTCTACCTCATGTGTGGGCTGTGGAGAAGCTGTTGTTTGTTACCTCCACTGTTCTACCTCATGTGTGGGCTGTGAGAAGAAGCTGTTGCTGTTTGTTACCTCCACTGTTCTACCTCATGTGTGGGCTGTAGAGAAGCTGCTGTTTGTTACCTCCACTGTTCTACCCCATGTGTGGGCTGTGGAGAAGCTGTTGTTTGTTACCTCCACTGTTCTACCTCATGTGTGGGCTGTGGAGAAGCTGTTTGTTACCTCCACTGTTCTACCTCATGTGTGGGCTGTAGAGAAGCTGTTTGTTACCTCCACTGTTCTACCTCATGTGTGGGCTGTAGAGAAGCTGTTGTTTGTTACCTCCACTGTTCTACCTCATGTGTGGGCTGTAGAGAAGCTGTTGTTTGTTACCTCCACTGTTCTACCTCATGTGTGGGCTGTAGAGAAGCTGTTGTTTGTTACCTCCACTGTTCTACCCCATGTGTGGGCAGTAGAGAAGCTGTTGTTTGTTACCTCCACTGTTCTACCTCATGTGTGGGCTGTAGAGAAACTGTTGTTTGTTACCTCCAGTGTTCTACCTCATGTGTGGGCTGTAGAGAAGCTGCTGTTTGTTACCTCCAGTGTTTTACCTCATGTGTGGGCTGTAGAGAAGCTGTTGTTTGTTACCTCCACTGTTCTACCTCATGTGTGGGCTGTAGAGAAGCTGCTGTTTGTTACCTCCAGTGTTTTACCTCATGTGTGGGCTGTGGAGAAGCTGTTTGTTACCTCCACTGTTTTACCTCATGTGTGGGCTGTAGAGAAGCTGTTTGTTACCTCCACTGTTCTACCTCATGTGTGGGCTGTAGAGAAGCTGTTGTTTGCTACCTCCAGTGTTTTACCTCATGTGTGGGCTGTAGAGAAGCTGTTTGTTACCTCCACTGTTCTACCTCATGTGTGGGCTGTAGAGAAGCTGTTGTTTGTTACCTCCACTGTTTTACCTCATGTGTGAGCTGTAGAGAAGTTGTTGTTTGTTACCTCCACTGTTCTACCTCATGTGTGGGCTGTAGAGAAGTTGTTGTTTGTTACCTCCACTGTTCTACCTCATGTGTGGGCTGTAGAGAAGCTGTTGTTTGTTACCTCCACTGTTCTATCTCATGTGTGGGCTGTAGAGAAGCTGTTTGTTACCTGCACTGTTCTACCTCATGTGTGGGCTGTACAGAAGCTGTTGTTTGTTACCTCCACTGTTCTACCTCATGTGTGGGCTGTAGAGAAGCTGTTGTTTGTTACCTCCACTGTTCTACCTCATGTGTGGGCTGTACAGAAGCTGTTGTTTGTTACCTCCACTGTTCTACCTCATGTGTGGGCTGTGGAGAAGCTGTTGTTTGGAACCTCCACTGTTTTACCCCATGTGTGGGCTGTAGAGAAGCTGTTTGTTACCTCGACTGTTCTACCTCATGTGTGGGCTGTGGAGAAGCTGTTGTTTGTTACCTCCACTGTTCTACCTCATGTGTGGGCTGTAGAGAAGCTGCTGTTTGTTACCTCCACTGTTCTACCCCATGTGTGGGCTGTAGAGAAGCTGTTGTTTGTTACCTCCACTGTTCTACCTCATGTGTGGGCTGTAGAGAAGCTGTTTGTTACCTCCACTGTTCTACCTCATGTGTGGGCTGTAGAGAAGCTGTTTGTTATCTCCACTGTTTTACCTCATGTGTGGGCTGTAGAGAAGCTGTTGTTTGTTACCTCCACTGTTCTACCACTTGTCTGGTCCTCCTTGCGCTGAGCTTCAGCAGTATCTAAGTGCCTCCTTTTCTCAGACATTTGTGTATGTGTATTTCTTTACTATTTTCCTTTCCGGTTGTCCTGACCACCCCTGGCTGTTTTATCTGACCAGCCCTGGCTGTTTTATCTGACCAGCTCTGGCTGTTTTATCTGACCAGCTCTGGCTGTTTTATCTGACCACCCCTGGCTGTTTTATCTGACCAGCCCTGGCTGTTTTATCTGACCACCCCTGACTGTGACATAGAGTCCAAATCGAAATCTCCTAGGGTTTTACTTGGTTCCAGATATCAGCAAACACAGCCACCGGTGCCTTCTATGGTGTGCAGACGCTCCTCAGCCTGCTGGCTCCCTCCTACAACAAAGCCTCAGGAATAGTTGCAGACTGTGTGGTCCAAGATGCTCCCAGGTTCCCGTACCGAGGCATGCATGTAGATGTCTCCAGAAACTTCCAGCCGAAAGAAGAAATCCTTCGTCTTTTGGACCGCATGGCCACATACAAGATGAATAAACTACACTTCCATCTGTCCGATGATGAGGGCTGGAGACTGGAGATACCTGGACTTCCGGAGCTGACTGAGGTGAGTTGTCTGATACCTGGACTCCCGGAGCTGACTGAGGTGAGTTGTCTGATACCTGGACTCCCAGAGCTGACTGAGGTGAGTTGTCTGATACCTGGACTCTCAGAGCTGACTAAGGTGAGTTGTTTGATACCTGGACTCCTAGAGCTGACTGAGGTGAGTTGTTTGATACCTGGACTCCCAGAGCTGACTGAGGTGAGTTGTCTGATACCTGGACTCCCAGAGCTGACTGAGGTGAGTTGTCTGATACCTGGACTCCCAGAGCTGACTGAGGTGAGTTGTCTGAGACCTGGACTCCCAGAGCTGACTGAGGTGAGTTGTCTGAGACCTGGACTCCCGGAGCTGACTGAGGTGAGTTGTCTGATACCTGTACTCCCAGAGCTGACTGAGTTGAGTTGTTTGATACCTGGACTCCCGGAGCTGACTGAGGTGAGTTGTCTGATACCTGGACTCCCAGAGCTGACTGAGGTGAGTTGTCTCATGCCGTGACCCCTATTTAACTTGGAGTTCATGCCACGACCAAAAAAGTAGCATAAAAAGTTTATCAACTTGAAAAATTTCAGCACTTTCTGGATGAAAATACATGTAAAATATTTTATGTATCCTACATCCAAACTCATATTGACTATTGTTCCACAATTTGGGATGGCTGCTACAAATCTAATGTCAAACGGCTGAGTTCTTTACAAAATAGGGCCTTACGCCTAGTTTAGAAACTACGTCGAGAAAAATCTTTTATACTGACATCTAAGACTTCTGCCATATAGTAAACATTTAATTATTTTACAAGGGCAAATTCATTCACAAAATCATATCTCAATATTCTCAAAATTACATTGATTATACCGATTGATTCAATCTAATCCTATGAATAGCAAGCGGCTAAGTTTATTACATTTGCTTAAATCTAGAATTGATTTATTTAAAACAGGTTTAGCATATTCTGCTGCTCATTTATTGAACCATCTTCCACTCGATCAGAAAAATACAGAGAGTCCCTACTCATTTAACCGCAAACTTTTTTATTTCATGATTACCGGTGATTATATGCCACCTTAGAGGCATCCATGGCTTAGGTGTTGCGAGTCTGACTTGTAATTCCAATGTACCGCGATCAAAACCCACTGCTGGCTGCGTGGATTTTTATCAAGGTACGGGGCGTCGCAGATCAACCCAGCCTAAAATGAGTACTAGGATGTATGTCCTGGGGAAGTAAAGACAGCCGGCGTGATGCTGATCACATTACCCACCTAGTGCCGATTGGTCTGTGTTAATATGGCTGCTCTTCCCATGTGCCCGATGCGCCTAAAAGCATGAATAAGGGATTTTTGCTTTTTACTTTTTATAGGCTACCTTAAGTGTTACGTTATCAGTTTATAATTAAAGGGTGTATGATATGTATGTCTGCGTATATGTGTGACATGTTTGCATGTGTAGGCGTGTTTGTGTATGTATGATTCTGCATATGTATGAGTCTTTGTGTGTGCATGTTCCTGTGAGTGTCTCTGTGTGAGAGTCTGTATGGTGTTTGTAGGTGTGTCTGTGTATATTTGTGTGTGTGTCTTTATATGTTTGTGTGCATGTGTGTGTCTGTTTGTGTGTCTGTACGTGTGTGTCTATTTGTGTTTGTATGTGTATATGTGTGTGTGTGGGTCTTTGTGTATATGCATGTTTTTATGTGTCTCTGTGTGTGTCTATGTTTGTGTGTCTGTGGGTGTGTGTCTATGTGCGTGTTTGTATGTGTATCAGCGTGTCTGTGTGTGTGTGGCTGTGTGTTTGTGTCTGTGTCTGTGTGTATCTGTGTGTGTGGCTTCACATGTACTTGTGTGTGTATATTTGATAACATTTGTGTGTGTGCCTGTGTGTGTGTATATATGTCTGTGTGCTTGTGTGTCTACATGTGTGACTGAGTGCATGTCTGTGTGAGTGTTGTGCATGTCTGTGTGAGTGTTGTGCATGTCTGTGTGACTGAGAGCATGTCTGTGTGAGTGTTGTGCATGTCTCTATGTTTGTGCCTATATGTATGTGTCTGGTTGTGTCTGTGCATGTGTCTGTGTGCATATCTGTGTTTGTGTCATTGTGTGTGTTTGTGTGTCTGCGCATGTGTTTGTCTTTATCTGTGTGTGTGGCTATCTGTGTATGTGTCAGTGTGTGTGTATCTGTGCATGTGTGTGTTTGTGTTTGTTCCTATAGGTGTGTCTGATGCTGTGTGAGTGTTTTGTGTTTGTGGCTGCATGTGTATCTGTGTGTGTGTCTATTTGATGTCTGCATGTGTCTCTATGTGTGTTTGTGCATGTCTGTGTGTATGTCTGTGTTCATGTGTGTCATGTGTGTGTCTGCATGTGTGACTGTATGCACGTCTGTGTGTGTGTGTGTGAGTGTTGTGTATGTCTGTATGTGTGACTGTATGCACGTCTGTGTGTGTGTGTGTGAGTGTTGTGTATGTCTGCATGTGTGACTGTATGCACGTCTGTGTGTGTGTGTGTGTTGTGTATGTCTGCATGTGTGACTGTATGCACGTCTGTGTGTGAGTGTTGTGTATGTCTGTATGTGTGACTGTATGCACGTCTGTGTGTGTGTGTGAGTGTTGTGTATGTCTGCATGTGTGACTGTATGCACGTCTGTGTGTGTGTGTGAGTGTTGTGTATGTCTGTATGTGTGACTGTATGCACGTCTGTGTGTGTGTGTTGTGTATGTCTGCATGTGTGACTGTATGCACGTCTGTGTGTGTGTGTGAGTGTTGTGTATGTCTGTATGTGTGACTGTATGCACGTCTGTGTGTGTGTGTTGTGTATGTCTGCATGTGTGACTGTATGCACGTCTGTGTGTGTGTGTGAGTGTTGTGTATGTCTGTATGTGTGACTGTATGCACGTCTGTGTGTGTGTGTGAGTGTTGTGTATGTCTGCATGTGTGACTGTATGCACGTCTGTGTGTGTGTGTGAGTGTTGTGTATGTCTGCATGTGTGACTGTATGCACGTCTGTGTGTGTGTGTGAGTGTTGTGTATGTCTGTATGTGTGACTGTATGCACGTCTGTGTGTGTGTGTGTTGTGTATGTCTGCATGTGTGACTGTATGCACGTCTGTGTGTGTGTGTGAGTGTTGTGTATGTCTGTATGTGTGACTGTATGCACGTCTGTGTGTGTGTGTGAGTGTTGTGTATGTCTGCATGTGTGACTGTATGCACGTCTGTGTGTGTGTGTGTGAGTGTTGTGTATGTCTGTATGTGTGACTGTATGCACGTCTGTGTGTGTGTGTGTTGTGTATGTCTGCATGTGTGACTGTATGCACGTCTGTGTGTGTGTGTGAGTGTTGTGTATGTCTGTATGTGTGACTGTATGCACGTCTGTGTGTGTGTGTGAGTGTTGTGTATGTCTGCATGTGTGACTGTATGCACGTCTGTGTGTGTGTGTGAGTGTTGTGTATGTCTGCATGTGTGACTGTATGCACGTCTGTGTGTGTGTGTGAGTGTTGTGTATGTCTGTATGTGTGACTGTATGCACGTCTGTGTGTGTGTGTTGTGTATGTCTGCATGTGTGACTGTATGCACGTCTGTGTGTGTGTGTGAGTGTTGTGTATGTCTGTATGTGTGACTGTATGCACGTCTGTGTGTGTGTGTGAGTGTTGTGTATGTCTGCATGTGTGACTGTATGCACGTCTGTGTGTGTGTGTGAGTGTTGTGTATGTCTGCATGTGTGACTGTATGCACGTCTGTGTGTGTGTGTGAGTGTTGTGTATGTCTGTATGTGTGACTGTATGCACGTCTGTGTGTGAGTGTGAGTGTTGTGTATGTCTGTATGTGTGACTGTATGCACGTCTGTGTGTGTGTGTGTGAGTGTTGTGTATGTCTGTATGTGTGACTGTATGCACGTCTGTGTGTGTGTGTGAGTGTTGTGTATGTCTGTATGTGTGACTGTATGCACGTCTGTGTGTGTGTGTGTGAGTGTTGTGTATGTCTGTATGTGTGACTGTATGCACGTCTGTGTGTGAGTGTGAGTGTTGTGTATGTCTGTATGTGTGTCTCTGCCTTTGACTGTGTGTTTGCCTGTGGCTGCATGTGTGTGTGTTTGTCTGTGGGCATCTTGTGTGTGTGTGTGTTTGTAGGTGTCTCTGTCCTGTCTGCCTGTCTGTCTCTGTCCTGTCTGCCTGTCTGACTCTGTCCTGTCTGCCTGTCTGACTCTGTCCTGTCTGCCTGTCTGTCTCTGTCCTGTCTGCCTGTCTGTCTCTTTTCTTGACCAGAATATTAAAGTAACGGAAGTTGTTTCTGCTCATGAGATTTGTTGCTGTAAATCGTGGATTCTGTAGCCATCAATTTTGTTCTCTTCTCCTAGATTGGGTCTAAACGAGGTCATGACCTGAAGGAGGACACCTGCTTGCTTCCTATGCTGGGTTCAGGCCCGTTTCCTCATGGGCTGGGTTGTGGCTTCTACAGGTAACTGGTTAGGGCAGTCAGCAAATCAGCATGTACTGTTTACAAATAGCTGTATGAGTCCATGTTTGTGAATGCAATGACCATTTCCAGTACAGTCTTTCTCTAATGCAGATCTGTCCAGACTTGTGTGAGTGAAACTTTGTAGACAGACAACAGTATGCAACAGAGTATTTCAGTCTGTTAGTAATCCAGAGGTTAAGGTTTAGCGCTGGCAGCCGATTATTCTAATGCTTTATGTTCGCACACCTTCACACTGCGGTTGACACAAAATGTGTTTTGACTCACAGTTTAGAAAACTGTGGTCTACTCAGGTGATAACAAGATAAGTGTCTGGAGAAGGATGAACTGGAAGATTGAGTTTCACTGAGGTGATGAGAAGATAGTGTCTGGAGAAGGATGAACTGGAAGATTGCGTTTCACTGAGGTGATGAGAAGATAGTGTCTGGAGAAGGATGAACTGGAAGATTGCGTTTCACTCAGGTGATGAGAAGATAGTGTCTGGAGAAGGATGAACTGGAAGATTGAGTTTCACTCAGGTGATGAGAAGATAGTGTCTGGAGAAGGATGAACTGGAAGATTGAGTTTCACTCAGGTGATGAGAAGATAGTGTCTGGAGAAGGATGAACTGGAAGATTGAGTTTCACTCAGGTGATGAGAAGATAGTGTCTGGAGAAGGATGAACTGGAAGATTGAGTTTCACTCAGGTGATGATAAGATAGTGTCTGGAGAAGGATGAACTGGAAGATTGAGTTTCACTCAGGTGATGAGAAGATAGTGTCTGGAGAAGTATGAACTGGATGATTGAGTTTCACTCTGGTGATGAGAAGATAGTGTCTGGAGAAGGATGAACTGGAATATTGAGTTTCACTGAGGTGATGAGAAGATAGTGTCTGGTAAAGAATGAACTGGAAGATTGAGTTTCACTCAGGTGATGAGAAGATAGTGTCTGGTGAAGGATGAACTGGAAGATTGCGTTTCACTCAGGTGATGAGAAGATAGTGTCTGGAGAAGGATGAACTGGAAGATTGCGTTTCACGGAGGTGATGAGAAGATAGTGTCTGGAGAAGGATGAACTGGAAGATTGCCTTTCACTCAGGTGATGAGAAGATAGTGTCTGGTGAAGGATGAACTGGAAGATTGAGTTTCACTCAGGTGATGAGAAGATAGTGTCTGGAGAAGGATGAACTGGAAGATTGAGTTTCACTCAGGTGATGAGAAGATAGTGTCTGCAAAAGGATGTATTGGAAGACTGATGATACTAGTAATGAAAGATGAGGCAGAAAGAAAGTGATTACAGAGTGACCCAAAGGGCACTCGCTGGTTGAACATGTCCGACAAAACTGACCAGTTTAGCTGCCTAATATTGATATCAAACAACCAGTATATGTTAGACGACAGACCTGTCTTGGTTGGTGCCTGAATTTTTCAATGATGGCCAAATCATCCAGGTATTGTTTCCTTTCTTTTCCCATTGTTAATATCCAGTTGGATGTGGTACGTAAGTCAGGGTTTTCCATCCTAAAGAACCCTGTTCAGCAACTTGTAGCACAGTTGTACTGGGGACCTTAGAACAGTTACAGAATCATCTATTGTCCACTATGGGTATTGGACACCTTAGAACGGTTACAGAATCACCTGTTGTCCACTATGGGTATTGGACACCTTAGAACAGTTACAGAATCACCTGTTGTCCACTATGGGTATTGGACACCTTAGAACAGTTACAGAATCACCTGTTGTCCATTATGGGTATTGGACACCTTAGAACAGTTACAGAATCACCTGTTGTCCACTATGGGAATTGGGCACCTTAGAACAGTTACAGAATCACCTGTTGTCCACTATGGGTATTGGACACCTTAGAACAGTTACAGAATCACCTGTTGTCCACTATGGGTATTGGACACCTTAGAACAGTTACAGAATCACCTGTTGTCCACTATAAGTATTGGACACCTTAGAACAGTTACAGAATCACCTGTTGTCCTTTATGGGTATTGGACACCTTAGAACAGTTAACCTGTTGTCCTTTATGGGTATTGGACACCTTAGAACAGTTACAGAATCACCTGTTGTCCACTATGGGTATTGGACACCTTAGAACAGTTACAGAATCACCTGTTGTCCTTTATGGGTATTGGACACCTTAGAACAGTTACAGAATCATCTGTTGTCCACTATGGGTATTGGACACCTTAGAACAGTTACAGAATCACCTGTTGTCCACTATGGGTATTGTATGCCAGGTTCAGTCTTGACTACTACTGACAACTTTCCCAGAATTGTGAACTATGGATGTCAGATTTGTTTCATATGTTTATTTCTGTTTTGACTCCTTGTGTCGTTTACCTCCATTGTGTTTACCTCTATTGTGTTTACCTCCATTGTGTTTACCTCTGTTGTGTTTACCTCTGTTGTGTTTACCTCTGTTGTGTTTACCTCTGTTGTGTTTACCTCTGTTGTGTTTACCCCTGTTGTGTTTACCTCTGTTGTGTTTATCTGTCTTGTATTTTAACTCCCTTATGTTTACCTGTCTTGAGTTTAATATTTCTGTGTTCGATTCCTGAATGTTTACCTATCATGTTTGGTGGTAACTACCATCTATTCCAGTGTTGATGAGTACAAGGAGATACTTCAGTATGCAAATGATCGTCACATTGAGGTCATTCCAGAGATTGACATGCCAGGTCACAGTCATGCAGCCATTCGAGCTATGACAGTCAGATATGATCGGTTGATGGCCCAGGTAAGGTACAGAGATAGATTCCTGAGTTTGTTAACAGAGATAATGAGATATGATCTGCTGATGGCTGAGTTACAGAGATAGATTCCTGAGTTTGTTAACAGAGATAATGAGATATGATCTGCTGATGGCTAAGTTGCAGATATTTATTTCTAAGGTAGTTAATAGAGATATTCGCTGATGGCTGAGATAAGTTACACAGATAGATTCTTCAGGTAGTTAATAGAGTCAGTGAGATATTTGCTGATGGCTGAGATAAGTTACACAGATAGATTCCTCAGGTAGTTAAAAGAGTCAGTGAGATATTCGCTGATGGCTGAGATAAGTTACACAGATAGATTCTTCAGGTAGGTAATAGAGTCAGTGAGATATTTGCTGATAGCTGAGATAAGTTACACAGATAGATTCTTCAGGTAGTTAATAGAGTCAGTGAGATATTTGCTGATGGCTGAGATAAGTTACACAGATAGATTCCTCAGGTAGTTAATAGAGTCAGTGAGATATTTGCTGATGGCTGAGATAAGTTACACAGATAGATTCCTCAAGTAGTTAAAAGAGTCAGTGAGATATTCGCTGATGGCTGAGATAAGTTACACAGATAGATTCTTCAGGTAGGTAATAGAGTCAGTGAGATATTTGCTGATAGCTGAGATAAGTTACACAGATTCTTCAGGTAGTTAATAGAGTCAGTGAGATATTTGCTGATGGCTGAGATAAGTTACACAGATAGATTCCTCAGGTAGTTAATAGAGTCAGTGAGATATTTGCTGATGGCTGAGATAAGTTACACAGATAGATTCCTCAGGTAGTTAAAAGAGTCAGTGAGATATTCGCTGATGGCTGAAATAAGTTACACAGATAGATTCTTCAGGTAGGTAATAGAGTCAGTGAGATATTTGCTGATGGCTGAGATAAGTTACACAGATAGATTCCTCAGGTAGTTAACAGAGTCAGTGAGATATTCGCTGATGGCTGAGATAAGTTACACAGATAGATTCCTCAGGTAGGTAATAGAGTCAGTGAGATATTCGCTGATGGCTGAGATAAGTTACACAGATAGATTTCTCAGGTAGTTAAAAGAGTCAGTGAGATATTCGCTGATGGCTGAGATAAGTTACACAGATAGATTTCTCAGGTAGTTAATAGAGTCAGTGAGATATTCGCTGATGGCTGAGATAAGTTACACAGATAGATTCCTCAGGTAGTTAAAAGAGTCAGTGAGATATTCGCTGATGGCTGAGATAAGTTACACAGATAGATTTCTCAGGTAGTTAATAGAGTCAGTGAGATATTCACTGATGGCTGAGATAAGTTACACAGATAGATTCCTCAGGTAGTTAATAGAGTCAGTGAGATATTCGCTGATGGCTGAGATAAGTTACACAGATAGATTTCTCAGGTAGTTAATAGAGTCAGTGAGATATTCGCTGATGGCTAAGTTACACAGATAGATTCCTCAGGTAGTTAACAGAGAGTGTGTAGAATACTGTACAGATTGCACAGAAGCTGGTTACATTTGTATGTACTGTAGAATGCTAGGATTGCAAAGAAGCCAGGGTTACTTCACTATTTCAGGCCCATGAATTTTGACAGACTTGGCTCACATTATTTCCCTTTACAAAAAATGCCAGAAAGGGAGAGGGGGGGGGGGGGGGGGGGGAAGGGGTGTGAAAAAATACAAATGTGAATGTAATATTATGTAATATATTTGAATCGCTACAGAAGTATCTATTCTTCTAAAAGAGGAATGAATGTACATTTTGAATCTGATATGTTATTGTTTCATACTGTTATAGTTAGTAGGAAAAATAATTCAGTAGCTGTTATGTTTACAAAGACACAATTTTACAAGAAATAATCTTTACTTATTATGATTTTGCAGCCACAAGAGCAGTGAATATCCTTATTTGAGCATAACTCTTTAAAGTTTGTTGAGTTTCCTAACAAATGAAAGAGTTATGATCTGTTTCTCAGTGAGTTTAGCACTCAGAGGCTCCAGGTTCTCATAGAGTGCTGAACAACATTTCAAAGAAACAAATGGCAGAAAGTTGGACCTATGCACACACAATCTCAACATTGTAGGTTCGTACAGACTCTAGCTGCAGGGATTTCAGTGCAGCTTAGCCATAGTAGGGTACTGTCTGAAACAGTGCATTTGATGCAGATGTGGGTGACTATCACATCCTTCGCAAAAGAAACAGGTCTCCTTGGGGTTACCTCGTCAGAATTTACAGCTGACAGCTCATCTGCCGCTGATGTAAATGTGGATGACTATCACATCCTTCGCCGCTGGTGTAAATGTGGGTGACTATCACATCCTTCGCCCCTGGTGTAAATGTGGGTGACTATCATATCCTTCGCTGCTGGTGTAAATGTGGGTGACTATCACATCCTTCGCCGCTGGTGTAAATGTGGGTGACTATCACATCCTTCGCCGCTGGTGTAAATGTGGGTGACTATCACATCCTTCACCCCTGGTGTAAATGTGGGTCACTATCACATCCTTTGCAGCTGGTGTAAATGTGGGTGACTATCATATCCTTCTCCGCTGGTGTAAATGTGGGTGACTATCATATCCTTCGCTGCTGGTGTAAATGGGGGTGACTATCACATCCTTCGCCGCTGGTGTAAATGTGGGTGACTATCACATCCTTCACCCCTGGTGTAAATGTGGGTCACTATCACATCCTTTGCAGCTGGTGTAAATGTGGGTGACTATCATATCCTTCTCCGCTGGTGTAAATGTGGGTGACTATCATATCCTTCGCTGCTGGTGTAAATGGGGGTGACTATCACATTCTTCGCCCCTGGTGTAAATGTGGGAGACTATCACATCCTTTGCTGCTGGTGTAAATGTGAGTGACTATCACATCTTTTGCTGCTGGTGTAAATGTGGGTGACTATCATATCCTTCGCCGCTGGTGTAAATGTGGGTGACTATCACATCCTTTGCTGCTGATGTAAATGTGGGTGACTATCACATCCTTTGTTGCTGATGTAAATGTGGGTGACTATCACATCCTTCACTGCTGGTGTCAATTCATCATCGAAAATCACTTTCCAACAAATTTAATTTGTCTTTATCGTTATCAGAATTAGGAAAACATCGGATCGAACAAATTTTTCTACCTGTGCTTGAGTTCAGAACATTGGTATCCGTGGTTAGCTGAACAGAACTTTGACTGCTGAAAATGGCGCTAGCGATGAATCAGATCAATGTGCACCCAAATATTTGCTAACAAACACTTGTATACAAGGACACATTTTTAGAGCAACCTTCCCGGAATACTTTATTGGTAGTTTCGAACATTAGAAATGAATACGGAGCTGTATATGAATCATTATGTTACATGATGGTAATTGATTGCATGATGATAATTGATTACATGATAGTAATTGATTGCATGATGGTAATTAATTACATGATGGTAATTGATTACATGATGGTAATTGATTACATGATGGTAATTGATTACATGATGGTAATTGGTTACATAATGGTAATTGGTTACATGATGGTAATCGATTACATGATGGTAATTGGTTACATGATGGTAATTGATTACATGATGGTAATTGGTTGCATGATGGTAATTGATTACATGATGGTAATTGGTTACATGATGGTAATTGGTTACATGATGGTAATTGATTACATGATGGTAATTGGTTACATGATGGTAATTGGTTACATGATGGTAATTGGTTACATGATGGTAATTGGTTACATGATGGTAATTGGTTACATGATGGTAATTGGTTACATGATGGTAATTGATTACATGATGGTAATTGGTTACATGATGGTAATTGGTTACATGATGGTAATTGGTTACATGATGGTAATTGATTGCATGATGATAATTGATTGCATGATGATAATTGGTTCCATGATGGTAATTGGTTACGTGATGGTAATTGATTACATGATGGTAATTGATTACATGATGGTAATTGGTTACATGATGGTAATTGGTTACATGATGGTAATTGGTTACATGATGGTAATTGATTACATGATGGTAATTGATTACATGATGATAATTGGTTACATGATGGTAATTGATTACATGATGGTAATTGATTACATGATGGTAATTGGTTACATGATGGTAATTGATTACATGATGGTAATTGATTACATGATGGTAATTGGTTAAATGATGGTAATTGATTACATGATGGTAATTGGTTACATGATGGTAATTGATTACATGATGGTAATTGGTTACATGATGGTAATTGGTTACATGATGGTAATTGATTACATGATGGTAATTGATTACATGATGGTAATTGGTTACATGATGGTAATTGATTACATGATGGTAATTGATTACATGATGGTAATTGATTACACGATGGTAATTGGTTGATGGGTTGTCTATTGTTGAGGATAAACAAGCTGAGGCTGAGAGGTTTCTGCTGTCCGACCCATCAGAGACTGCCAGCGGCCATGTGTACTCAGTGCAGATGTTGTCAGAGACTGCCATGAACCCTGGCCTGCAGTCAACCTTCACCTTCATTGATAAGGTCAGTAGGTCAGGGTCTGGGTTGGGTGTGGGTTGATTACTATGTCCTTGCACAACCCCTCTCCACATAGAATGGAAGGGTGTGTGTGCAGGGCTGGCGCTGGATGGGACAAGGCCTCCAACTGGTCAAGACCCTTGAATACACTCCATGGTGATCCTGCAGGCAGATCAGATTTATGTTTCCTTTCAAGTTAAAGGCATCTGCCTGAGAGGTTAGGAACCAACAGTCTGCACACAAATAAGCCAGATTTGTGGGTTTTTTAAATGTGCATGCAAAACTCAAGTCCTGGAACAAGGTCAGAATCTGGTCCTGAAGAAACAGCCAGATTTTCTGTCAGAGTTCACAGCCAGATTTTCTGTCAGAGTTCACAGCCAGATTTTCTGTCAGAGTTCACAGCCAGATTTTCTGTCAGAGTTCACAGCCAGATTTTCTGTCAGAGTTCACAGCCAGATTTTCTGTCAGAGTTCACAGCCAGATTTTCTGTCAGAGTTCACAGCCAGATTTTCTGTCAGAGTTCACAGCCAGATTTTCTGTCAGAGTTCACAGCCAGATTTTCTGTCAGAGTTCACAGCCAGATTTTCTGTCAGAGTTCACTGCCAGATTTTCTGTCAGAGTTCACAGCCAGATTTTCTGTCAGAGTTCACAGCCAGATTTTCTGTCAGAGTTCACAGCCAGACTTTCTGTCAGAGTTCACAGCCAGATTTTCTGTCAGAGTTCACAGCCAGACTTTCTGTCAGAGTTCACAGCCACCAGCTGCTAGGGAAGGTGAAGAATATGGTCTAACAGTTTCACGAATGCGATGCTTAAGGAGAGAACTAAATAGATTCCTTGAATCAAGAGGTGAGTTACAGATGCTGGTGCTGAATAGGACAGAGAACATGATAACAGCTTATTTACACCATTGTTGCATGTGAGCACAAGTATTAGAGAATGAGAGAGAGAGAGAGAGAGAAAGAGAAAATCTACAAATAAACTGAGAAGAAAATCAAGACAGAGAAGCTGTTCTGTGAAGGACACTGACCTGCTACAGGAGTTGAAATATGAAATCTTGGTGTCAAGTGGTTGGGGGCTTATGCTCCAGTTTGAGGGGGGGGGGAAGGGGGGGGGGGGTAGGGGAGGAGTGTGAATGGCAGACAAGGAAAAATAAGAAGTATATTCGTACCGCTAACATATACACAGCTACAGAAATAACTAGTGTAGAAATAAATTCTGTCAACATATATACCCACACAGACCAGTTTTTAGTGACATTCTATGGCACAAGAGGAACCAAGAAATGAGAGAGAGAGAGTCTGTTTTAATAGGATTTATCTGAGGGTGGTTTTTTTTCCCCAGGTTAGCACAGAGTTGAAAGAACTGCAGCACGATATTCATGTTTTGCTTTTCCTTCTATCACATTGCTTTTCCCTTCTATCACGTTGCTTTTCCCTTCTATCAGGTTCATTTTCCCTTCTATCAGGTTTCTTTTCCCTTCTATCAGGTTTCTTTTTCTTTTTCCTTCTATCAGGTTTCTTTTTCCTTCTATCAGGTTGCTTTTACCTTCTATCACATTGCTTTTCCCTTCTATCAGGTTTCTTTTTCCTTCTATCAGGTTTCTTTTACCTTCTATCAGGTTTCTTTTACCTTCTATCAGGTTTCTTTTTCCTTCTATCAGGTTTCTTTTACTTTCTAACAGGTTTCTTTTTCCTTCTATCAGGTTTCTTTTACGTTCTATCAGGTTTCTTTTACCTTCTATCAGGTTTCTTTTTCCTTCTATCAGGTTATCACAGAGTTGAAAGAACTGCAGCACAATATTTATGTATGGCTTTTATTTCTTTCATGTTGCTTTTCCCTTCTATCAGGTTTCTTTTACCTTCTATCAGGTTTCTTTTTCCTTCTATCAGGTTTCTTTTACCTTCTATCAGATTTCTTTTACCTTCTATCAGGTTTCTTTTTCCTTCTATCAGGTTATCACAGAGTTGAAAGAACTGCAGCACAATATTTATGTATGGCTTTTATTTCTATCATGTTGCTTTTCCCTTCTATCAGGTTTCTTTTTCTTTCTATCAGGTTTCTTTTACCTTCTATCAGGTTTCTTTTTCCTTCTATCAGGTTATCACAGAGTTGAAAGAACTGCAGCACAATATTTATGTGTGGCTTTTATTTCTATTGTGTTGCTTTTCCCTTCTATCAGGTTTCTTTTTCCTTCTATCAGGTTTCTTTTACCTTCTATCAGGTTTCTTTTACCTTCTATCAGGTTTCTTTTACCTTCTATCAGGTTTCTTTTTCCTTCTATTAGGTTTCTTTTACCTTCTATCAGGTTTCTTTTACTTTCTATCAGGTTTCTTTTACCTTCTATCAGGTTTCTTTTCCCTTCTATCAGGTTGCTTTTACCTTCTATCAGGTTGCTTTTCCCTTCTATCAGGTTATCACAGAATTGAAAGAACTACATCAGGATATTCAGCCTCTTCGTATATTTCACCTGGGAGGGGATGAAGTGCCGTTTGAAGCCTGGGATGACTCGCCAGCATGTCTAGCCCTAGTGGAGTCTGGTGAAGTGCACGCCATGGGAGGATTGATGCAGTATTTTGTGACCAGAGTTGGACAACTGGCACATCAGCACGGCCTGGACTTGGCTGTCTGGCAAGATGGTGTTGTAAGTCATGCAGTGAGATGTCATCTGCTGATGTTGGTTGTCATCTGTTGATGTTGGTTGTCATCTGTTGATGTTGGGTGCTATTTGTTGGTGTTGGTTTTCAGGCTCCTATCTCAAATGTCATGTGTCAATGCCATATGCTGATGTTTGATGCTGTGTGCTAGTGTTGAATATCATGCTCCAGTCTTAGATACTACATGTTGGTGTTGGATGTCATGCTGCTTTCTTAGATGCCACCTGTCTGTGTTGGATGCCATGTGCTGGTGACAGTTGTCCAACCCAGTCTGTACAGTGCTGGCGGTACATGGTCACATAATGTCTAGATCACTTGCCTGCCAGTCTGGTAGTTATGGGCTCAAGTCTCCCTGAAGAATGACTGTCCCCTGACTAGACGGCTGTTGTTTACATTGTATCTGTGGAATGTCCCCCTGACTAGATGGCTGTTGTTTACATTGTATCTGTGGAATTTCCCCCTGACTAGATGGCTGTTGTTTACATTGTATCTGTGGAATTTCCCCCTGACTAGATGGCTGTTGTTTACATTGTATCTGTGGAATTTCCCCCTGACTAGATGGCTGTTGTTTACATTGTATCTGTGGAATGTCCCCCTGACGACATGGCACTTGGCTACATTGTATCTGTGGAATGTCCCCCTGACGACATGGCACTTGGGTACTCTGAATCTATGGAATGTCCCCCTGACGACATGGCACTTGGGTACTCTGAATCTATGGAATGTCCCCCTGACGACATGGCACTTGGGTACTCTGAATCTATGGAATGTCCCCCTGATGACATGGCTCTTGGGTACTCTGAATCTATGGAATGTCCCCCTGACGACATGGCACTTGGGTACTCTGAATCTATGGAATGTCCCCCTGACGACATGGCACTTGGGTACTCTGAATCTATGGAATGTCCCCCTGACTACATGGCCCTTGGGTACTCTGAATCTATGGAATGTCCCATTGACTACATGGCCCTAGGGTACATTGTGTCTGTGGAATGTCTCATCGACTACATGGCCCTTGGGTACATTGTGTCTGTGGAATGTCCTCTTGACTACATGGCCCTTGGGTACATTGTATCTGTGGAATGTCCCATTGACTACATGGCCCTTGGGTACATTGTGTCTGTGGAATGTCCCCCTGACTACATGGCACTTGGGTACATTGTGTCTGTGGAATGTCCCATCGACTACATGGCCCATGGGTTCATTGTGTCTGTGGAATGTCCCATTGACTACATGGCCCTTGGGTACATGGTATCTGTGGAATGTCCCATTGACTACATGGCCCTTGGGTACATTGTATCTGTGGAATGTCCCCCTGACCACATGGATCTGATGTATTGTATCTGTGCTGGTTGACGACCAAGGCTTACTGTGATCAAGCGCTTGTAACAGAAACAGAATGCTTTGTGACAAGTGTTGCATGGCTTTGTCTCAGTTGGCTGAGCAATGTGTGGTGAACAAGGGAGCTGATCTGATCAAACTGCAACCTAAAGTAGATCAATCTCTAACCTTGTTTATGTTGATAACTTTTATATATCTTTTAATGTGTTCATGATGTTTTTGTCTCTTTTGTCACAGGTAGAAAAAGACAGTGGCCCATACAAGCGTTCCAAGTTCCCCAACTCCAATGTTCTGACCTACTTCTGGAGAAATGTCTGGGAAACTGGCCAGGCTTACGAGGCGTACAAACTGGCAAATGCTGGCTACCAGGTTAGGTTACTGCTGTCACATTGTGTCCAGTCATTGTGACGTTTTGAAGACATGTATGAAGTTTTCCAACCATGAGACTCCACTGTAGCTGTTACCTTTCTCACTGCCTGTGAACTTATTCCTGGAGAACATAATGCTGTGGATTTTCCCAGTTTTCCATCATAACTTGAAAGTGTACATGCTTTAGATGTTCTGTTTTCTTTATAAAACTGGTAAAACTTCTGGCCCAATGTAGTGGACTAGGCATGGCAGAATGTTTGGCTTCAAAGTTATTTCTGCTTCTGGCAGCGCTTGATAATGCAATTTCTACATACTGACGGAGTCTACTGTTAAGTGTTTGATGCAGCACTGTTAGCTCTATGTGTGTGTGTGTGTGTGTGTGTGTGTGTGTGTGTGTGTGTGTGTTATATATATATATATATATATATATATATATATATATATATATATATATATATATATATATATATATATATATATATATAAATATATATATATATATATATATATATATATATATATATATATATATATATATAGAATGACTTTCATTTGTGCAGCAGTTGATTCATGACATTCAGGATGGCCAGTAGCCAGTTTCCCTGTGGCCTGGTGAAATACTTGCAATACTTTTTGTAATAATTTTGCGTGTATTTAGCCAACTTATCCTGACCAGTTTCTTCCATCAATGATTGGCACCCTTCTGTCTTTCCCTAGGATAGTGTTATTTTGTGCTATAAAGAGGCACGGGACTCACAGTCCATGGCGATGGCGAGTGTGACTAGCAAAACCCACCTGCGCTGAGAAAAGTCTTCCACAATTATAGCATGGGATTTCAGGACTGTTGTGTCAACATTTGTGTTCAGTGTGTTTCTTTTCAGACCATCAGCTCTCATCATTTCTTCCTTTGTTCTCATTCCCTTCCTGATGTGCCCCCTCCATACAATAAGGTCCTTGGTATTTTGTTACGAGTCCACCTCAGTGCCTGTATCATTCATATCCCTTTTGCACACATCTTTTTATCATAGTAGAGGTCAGCCTCGACAACCTCTACCCATCCTTAATTCACCGGAGCCTTCATAGACTCAGCATTGAGAAAAATGTTGTAGTACCTGCTCTTTCCAGTACCCCAGTGTTTGTAATCTTGTCATGCCACTTAATGCCACGTATTCTTCTTAGGCATCGTATGTGAAAGCTATTTAGCCGTCTCTCCTGGTGCTAATAGGTTGACCAAGTTTCACTGCCATAAAGCAGAGTGCTGAGAACACAAGCCTGACAGACAAGGGTTTTTGTTTTAATTGTGAGCTTTCTGTTCTCCCAAACTCTCTTTGTCAGTCTGCTCATTTTTGTTGCTGCCTTAACTATCCGGATTTTGATTTCTTGGTCCAGTGATAGTTTGTTATTTACTGTGGATCCCATCAATGACAGTCTGCATTTACGGTGGTGATTTTTTGCTTTGGCATCTCTAACAACTGCCATGTGCATTTACTGTGTACACATATTTCCAGTACTAATTTACTGTGTACACATATTTCCAGTACTAATTTACTGCGTACACATATTTCCAGCACTAATTTACTGTGTACACATATTTCCAGTTCTAATTTACTGTGTGCACATATTTCCAGTTCTAATTTACTGTGTACACATATTTCCAGTACTAATTTACTGTGTACACATATTTCCAGTACTAATTTACTGTGTACACATATTTCCAGTACTAATTTACTGTGTACACATATTTCCAGTACTAATTTACTGTGTACACATATTTCCAGTACTAATTTACTGTGTACACATATTTCCAGTACTAATTTACTGTGTACACATATTTCCAGTACTAATTTACTGTGTACACATATTTCCAGTACTAATTTACTGTGTACACATATTTCCAGTACTAATTTACTGTGTACACATATTTCCAGTACTAATTTACTGTGTACACATATTTCCAGTACTAATTTACTGCGTACACATATTTCCAGTACTAATTTACTGCGTACACATATTTCCAGTACTAATTTACTGTGTACACATATTTCCAGGACTAATTTACTGTGTACACATATTTCCAGTACTAATTTTACTGCGTACACATATTTCCAGTACTAATTACTGTGTACTCATATTTCCAGTACTAATTTACTGCGTACACATATTTCCAGGACTAATTTACTGTGTACACATATTTCCAGGACTAATTTACTGCGTACACATATTTCCAGGACTTATAGTTTGTTCACCAGTTTTTCAAATGGAACAGTCAGGGAAATTTCATTTGACAGGAATAGAGCGAACAAGCAAACTTTATTTTCAAAAGGTCAAAAATTAGGAACTTAGTCTTTTCGCATAGCAGTTGTATTTTATTAATAAAGCATGTTATATTTATATGATATGTAGAACATTTCACATATCTTGGCAGTGTGGTGTCCCTACTGGGAGGGACAGAGGAAGACATATAGTCACGTCTGAACACAGCTAGAGCTGCTTTTGGAAGGATGAGGCAAATCTGGAAATCCAACAATCACTGCAGAGGAACGAAACTCCGACTCTACAAGAGCATCATTTTGCCAGTTCTTCTCTATGGAGCGGAATGCTGGAGAATGACCAAAAAGGATGCACACAAGCTGTCCACCTTCCACCACACATGTCTACGTAGAATTATCAAAATTTTCTGGCCAGATACAATCTCAAACACTAAACTACTTCAAGCCACAAACCAAGAAACTTTAGACAGTATGATTACCAAGAGAAGATGGAAATGGCTTGGCCACGTTATGAGAATGACTTCTGATATACCTGCCAAAACAGCTCTCACATGGACACCAGAGGGAAAGAGAAAACAGGGGCGCCCAAAATCAACATGGAGGCGAACGATGGAAAGTGACCTGAGTGCGGCATCTTTGACATGGAAAACTGCACTGAAGATTGCACAGGACAGGAAAGCATGGAAAGTCCTCTCTGAAGCCTCATGTGCCACTAGGCATAACAGAACTGACTGACTGATATTTATATGATAGCATGTATTTTATGAATTTAAAAAAAACAAAACACGAAAAGCATGTGTGGGGTGATAAAATGCATGCACACAGTAGTGCCCGGGCACACACACACACACACACACATGTACATGCCGCCACCCACTCACTTAAACAAATATATACACACATACATACATACACACACATACATAAATACATATAGATACACACATGAACATAAAGACACACCCACAGAAACACACACAAACATTAGATTTGATGCAGCCATGCCAAACTGGAACAGTACTTGACATGTGTTTAGATTTAGGATGCATAAAATATTTTTTGCATAACTTCATCCAGGAAGTGCTAAATTTTGGCAAGCTGATAAACGTTTTGTATAACTTTCTTTGCTATGGCACAAAGATAAGAATTCCAAGTTAAATGATTGTCAATTTTAAGGCCTAATGTTTTCTGCTCAGTTGTATTAACAATCAGGGATATATCTATGTAAAGCTCAAGTGGTGACTTGTGCATTTATAATGTTTACAGCTTTTGTCTGGTTGTTATAAGCATAGATTTAGTTTTATTTATGTTAACCCTTTCGCTGCTGCGCCCTCCGCCAGCCAACGTAACCACTATGCTAAGCCAGGCGAGAGCTAATCTTTCCCCCTGTGCTGAATACCGCTTTTTCCTTCAAAAGCAGAAGACGCGCTTGCGGCACGGGGTAAATATTGTACACCTAAAATAAAAAATCGTTGAAGGCGTGTGGTTGAACTTTGCGCTGACAAGTCAGACGCGCTATTACTACGCCATGAAAACTCATTAACAAAAAGAAAACACTACAAACTTACAAAGCAAACACAAAACACGTTAGTAAGCAAATACATGGTTTTTATTATTATTAATAATATCTTTGTGTGTGAAATATTTCAAAACAAGGTGCGACACACAATGCCAAATCACATTCCTTGCACATGTATCTGGTTTCCCGTCGTTTTTTGCTTTTTGCGCATACCACACACTTTCTTGTTGGGAAATTTTTCTGCCATGTTACGGACTCTATTATTGAAGGGAAATGCCTTTGTACTAAACGAAGTGGCAGATCTTCACTTTTTTGTCCTCCTACACTTTTTCTCTTTTGCTTGCAATATTTCTGTAGAATTTCTCTTACTAACATTAAGTGAAATTCGGCAACAGGTGTGTTTTTCCCCACAACAACTTTATATAATGAATGTGCACAGTACACCAACCACGCTTCACAAAGGAACAGGATAACGTGTAAAGCATCTAAATCCACCTGAACGCACGTGACAGGATGTTTAATTAATTATTACTTCGGTTATCTGTTGCCAAAAATGCTAAGAGCTTAAATTTAAAATTTGCATTTAAAATAATTAATTTAAAAAAAAAAACGGCACGTAGGGGTTGAACGCTGGACCTTTCGATTGTAAGGCAGACGTGATACCAACTACACTAGAAATTCACATGAAACTACGAACTGAAAAAAAGACCAGTATTGTACACTTTAATAGACAAACACATTTATGTCAGTTGTATATAATTAACATTAATATTAATCATCACGTCAGTTCGTGACCATATCTTTTTTTGTTGATTATTTTGGATCCGTTTCAAATCCAGTCGATGTAGATAGCTAAGTCATATGGTCAATGGTTAGTCTTGTTTACAGCCAGAAGTACACGTGTCCGCCGGCGTGCCACGAAGATAACCCAGCTCATATAACTCACACACTTCAAAGTGATCCTTACTACTACTCTTTGAAAGAAACTCCATTAATTCTTCTTTATTTAAACAAATGTTCTTGTTATTTTGTATTTAAAAAAAAAAAATTCAGACTAACGCAAAACCAGAAATATATTTCAGGGCAAAAAAATTACCGTTCACCGACAATGCTTCTATGGTAACAAAGCAACAGGATAACGTGAAATGCATCTAAATACGCCTAAACTCACTTGATAAGGGTTTTAATTGTATGTAAACGGGTCAATTTGATCAGATTGAGGTAATGTGTATTGCTATTTCACCCCTAAGAATTACTGTTCTTAGCAATCTGTAAAAAAATGTCGAGGACGAGATATCTCGAAAATGGCAGCCGAGTTATCTCGTCTTTAGCAGTCTGCCGGGCAGACGAGTTATCTCGTCCATAGCAGCGAAAAGGTTAACTTGCTTTTGCTCTATTTATTAAGATGATTTACCTCTTTCTGTAAAGAACTTCCCAACTCATTACAATTGTCGTGACTAGTATATATTGTACAGTCGTCAGCACACAGATCACACGTTATACTGAGATGTAATGAAATGTTGATAATATACAAGGCAAAAAAGTAGTAGACATAGAATCGATCCCTGTGACATGCCTATATTAAACTGAGTGGATTTTGACATATGGTTATTGAAGGATACTACTTGTTTTCTATCAGATAAAAATGACTGCAATGACCAATTTATCATTGGTTTTCAAGGTTTTTAATTTATGAATTAGAAAATCATGATGTAGGAGGTGAAATGATCGAAGTGAAGTTGAAACCTTGTCTACGACTTCCTTAATTATGCAGCTGTGTCTAGAATGTAGCAGATGCTTGCGTACTTTACAGTAGCCAGTTGTGAAAGATCTTCACCGTGTAGTGTGAGCAGATGTTGCCTCTTTACTCTCACTGATCTGAGCAAGCTTGTTTGATCATCTGCTACTGCAGAATGTTTTTCTGTCCATGATCCACAACCAGATTTAAATCTAAACTTTTAGAGTTGGAGACTGATACCATTCTTCCCATCCACTGAGGGTCATTTTTGTGTAAACAGACACTCATGAATGCACACATACACAGACATACACTCATGGATGCACAGATACACAGACATAAACTAATGCAGGCACAGAAACACAGACATAAACTCATGCATGCACAGATACACAGACAAACACTCATGGATGCACAGATACATAGACATAAACTAATGCAGGCACAGAAACACAGACATAAACTCATGCATGCACAGATACACAGATATAAACTAATGCAGGCACAGATACACAGACATAAACTCATGGATGCACAGGTACACAGACATAAACTAATGCAGGCACAGATACACAGACATAAACTAATGCAGGCACAGAAACACAGACATAAACTCATGTATGCACAGATACACAGACATAAACTCATGGATGCACAGATACACAGACATACACTCATGGATGCACACATACACAGACATACACTCATGGATGCACACATACACAGACATACACTCATGGATGCACACATACACAGACATACACTCATGGATGCACACATACACAGACCTTTACTCATGCATGCACAGATACACAGACATGAACTAATGCAGGCACAGATACACAAACATAAACTCATGCATGCACAGATACACAGACATAAATAAACTCATGCATGCACATATACATAGACATAAACTCATGCATGCACAGATACACAGACATAAACTCATGCGTGCACAGATACACAGACATAAACTCATGCGTGCACAGATACACAGACATAAACTCATGCAGGCACAGATACACAGACATACACTCATGCAGGCACAGATACACAGACATAAACTCATGCATGCACAGATACAGAGACATAAACTCATGCAGGCACAGATACACAGACATAAACTCATGCAGGCACAGATACACAGAGATAAACTCATGCATGCACAGATACACAGACATAAACTCATGCATGCACAGATACACAGACATAAACTCATGCATGCACAGATATACAGACATACACCCATGGCAGTGAGTGGTGGATGCCCCAGGGCTGTGAGTAGTGAATGACCCAGGGCTGTGAGTGGTGGATGCCCCAGGGCTGTGGGGGGTGGATGCCCTAGGGCTGTGGGGGGTGGATGCCCTAGGGTTGTGAGTGGTGGATGCCCTAGGGCTGTGAGTAGTGGATGCCCCAGGGCTGTGAGTGGTGGATGCCCCAGGGCTGTGAGTGGTGGATGCCCCAGGGCTGTGAGTAGTGGATGCCCCAGGGCTGTGAGTGGTGGATGCCCCAGGGCTGTGAGTGGTGGATGCCCCAGGGCTGTGAGTGGTGGATGCCCCAGGGCTGTGAGTGGTGGATGCCCCAGGGCTGTGAGTGGTGGATGCCCCAGGGCTGTGAGTGGTGAATGACCCAGGGCTGTGAGTGGTGGATGCCCCAGGGCTGTGGGGGGTGGATGCCCTAGGGCTGTGGGGGGTGGATGCCCTAGGGCTGTGAGTGGTGGATGCCCTAGGGCTGTGAGTAGTGGATGCCCCAGGGCTGTGAGTGGTGGATGCCCCAGGGCTGTGAGTGGTGGATGCCCCAGGGCTGTGAGTGGTGGATGCCCCAGGGCTGTGAGTAGTGGATGCCCCAGGGCTGTGAGTGGTGGATGCCCCAGGGCTGTGAGTGGTGGATGCCCTAGGGCTGTGAGTAGTGAATGCACCAGGGCTGTGAGTGGTAATGCCCCAGGGCTGTGAGTGGATGCCCCAGGGCTGTGAGTGGTTGATGTCCCCAGGCTGTGCTGTGAGATGTCTGCTGATGTCATATACAGAAGCTGTACGTTGCAGGTTGTACTGGCCCCCGGAACACATCTGTACTTTGATCACCCACACGAACCAGATCCAGAGGAGCGGGGCTTGTACTGGGCCTGTCGGTTCATCGACACCCACAAAGTGTTCCTGTTTGCTCCGGACAATCTCATGTCCAATGCAGACGTGAAGCTGACGGGGGAGAAAATCACCAAGTCTGACTTGAAGGTGCTAGAGGAACTGGAGGACTTTACTGAGCTGAGGAAACCTGAAAATATACAGGGTATTGTCTGTCATTTATTTTAGACTTTACATTGTTACAGAATGCTGAACATTTTGTCAGACTTTAAATTGTTTTAGAAAGCTGTACATTTTGTCAGACTTTATATTGTTACAGAAAGCTGTACATTTTGTCAGACTTTACATTGTTTTAGAAAGCTGTACATTTTGTTAGACTTTACATTGTTACAGAAAGCTGTGCATTTTGTCAGACTTTACATTGTTTTAGAAAGCTATACATTTTGTCAGACTTTACATTGTTACAGAAAGCTGTACATTTTGTTAGACTTTACATTGTTACAGAAAGCTGTACATTTTGTCAGACTTTACATTGTTTTAGAAAGCTGTACATTTTGTTAGACTTTACATTGTTACAGAAAGCTGTACATTTTGTCAGACTTTACATTAATGCAGACAGCTGTACAAGTCTTGTGTCTCATATTTAAGTCATTTAGTTGCCTATTCTTTACAGGACGTTGCAGAACCAACTCTAACAGCCCCTGGCTGTTGTGTGGTTTCTCTAGGCAATTTACATCCAGTAGTTTGCCATTGCTTTCTGGACGGTCGGCTTTCTTGATACCAATGTCGAAACCAACGCAAGGCGCATTGCCCGCAGCTGGGATCGAACCTGGCATCCCAGCATTACAAAGCGAAGCGTTCGCATCGACTTAGCCATAGAGCCGACATTTAAGTCAGACTTTACATTAATGCAGTCAATTGTGCAAGTCTTGCGTTTCATAGTGATCTCATTAACTGTTTTATGTTGTGACACAGCTGTGATGTTTGCTTTTTGCCATTGCTCAGGTATTCAGGGACAGATCTGGACTGAACTTATCCGCACACCTGAACAGTTTCATTCTATGATCTTTCCTCGACTCATCGCTCTTGCAGAGAGGGCGTGGCACCGGGCAGCATGGGAAAATATGGATGATAGAAGCAGAAAATCCATTCAGGAATCTGACTGGTCATCATTTGCACATACATTAGCACACAAGGAACTGATGCGTCTAGAAGCTGCCAACATACCTTATCACATTCCTCCCCCGGGTTCAAGGTGAGAGTTCAAGGCTAATTTCAATGTAAACCTTTCATCTGGTGTCACTTCTAGCCTAGAATATAGAGAGAACAAGGACATATCTATTTCAGAATGTCATATTTTACCTGGTGTCACTTCTAGCCTAGAATATAGAGAGAACAGAGATATATCTATTTCAGAATGTCATATTTTACCTGGTGTCACTTCTAGCCTAGAATAGAGAGAACAGGGAGATCTCTGTGAAGATGTCATTTCTGTATTGCTTCTGACAGTTAATATTTCTGCTACTGGGATAATGTGATACACAATTCAACACTTCACACTGGCCATTTTCTCACATTAAAAAAAATATTTTTAAACCTCTAGCCCAAGTCAGTGTCATTAGCCTGTAGATTCCTTGCCCAAGTTAGTGTCATTAGCCTGTAGATTCCTTGATCAAGTCAGTGTCATTAGCCTGTAGATTCCTTGCTCAAGTTAGTCAATGTCATTAGCCTGTAGATTCCTTGCTCAAGTCAGTGTCATTAGCCTGTAGATTCCTTGCTCAAGTTAGTCAGTGTCATTAGCCTGTAGATTCCTTGCTCAAGTTAGTCAGTGTCATTAGCCTGTAGATTCCTTGCTCAAGTTAGTCAGTGTCATTAGCCTGTAGATTCCTTGCTCAAGTTAGTGTCATTAGCCTGTAGATTCCTTGCTCAAGTTAGTCAGTGTCATTAGCCTGTAGATTCCTTGCTCAAGTCAGTGTCATTAGCCTGTAGATTCCTTGCTCAAGTTAGTGTCATTAGCCTGTAGATTCCTTGCCCAAGTCAGTGTCATTAGCCTGTAGATTCCTTGCTCAAGTTAGTCAGTGTCATTAGCCTGTAGATTCCTTGCTCAAGTTAGTCAGTGTCATTAGCCTGTAGATTCCTTGCTCAAGTTAGTCAGTGTCATTAGCCTGTAGATTCCTTGCTCAAGTTAGTGTCATTAGCCTGTAGATTCCTTGCTCAAGTTAATGTCATTAGCCTGTAGATTCCTTGCTCAAGTTAGTCAGTGTCATTAGCCTGTAGATTCCTTGCTCAAGTTAGTGTCATTAGCCTGTAGATTCCTTGCTCAAGTCAGTGTCATTAGCCTGTAGATTCCTTGCTCAAGTCAGTGTCATTAGCCTGTAGATTCCTTGCCCAAGTTAGTGTCATTAGCCTGTAGATTCCTTGCTCAAGTCAGTGTCATTAGCCTGTAGATTCCTTGCTCAAGTTAGTGTCATTAGCCTGTAGATTCCTTGCTCAAGTCAGTGTCATTAGCCTGTAGATTCCTTGCTCAAGTCAGTGTCATTAGCCTGTAGATTCCTTGCTCAAGTCAGTGTCATTAGCCTGTAGATTCCTTGCTCAAGTCAGTCAGTCAGCCTGTCATTAGCCTGTAGATTCCTTGCTCAAGTCAGTGTCATTAGCCTGTAGATTCCTTGCTCAAGTCAATGTCATTAGCCTGTAGATTCCTTGCTCAAAGTCAGTGTCATTAGCCTGTAGATTCCTTGCTCAAGTTAGTGTCATTAGCCTGTAGATTCCTTGCTCAAGTTAGTCAGTGTCATTAGCCTGTAGATTCCTTGCCCAAGTTAGTCAGTGTCATTAGCCTGTAGATTCCTTGCTCAAGTTAGTCAGTGTCATTAGCCTGTAGATTCCTTGCTCAAGTTAGTGTCAGTAGCCTGTAGTGTCAGTTAGTGTCATTAGCCTGTAGATTCCTTGCTCAAGCTCAAGTTAATGTCATTAGCCTGTAGATTTCCTTGCTCAAGTTAGTCAGTGTCATTAGCCTGTAGATTCCTTGCTCAAGTTAGTGTCATTAGCCTGTAGATTCCTTGTCAAGTTAGTCAGTGTCATTAGCCTCAATTCCTTGCCCAAGTTAGTGTCATTAGCCTGTAGATTCCTTGCTCAAGTCAGTGTCATTAGTGTAGATTGTCAAGTCAGTGTCATTAGCCTGTAGATTTCTCAAGTTTGTGTCATTAGTGTAGTCCTTGCTCAGTTAGTGTCATTAGCCTGTAGATTCCCTGCTCAAGTAGTCATTAGCCCTTGCTCAAGTCAGTGTCATTAGCCTGTAGATTCCTTGCTCAAGTTAGTCAGTGTCATTAGCCTGTAGATTCCTTGTCTCAAGTTAGCTCAGTAGTGTCCATTAGCCTGTAGATTCCTTTGCTCAAGTTCAGTGTCATTAGCCTGTAGATTCCTTGCTCAAGTTAGTCAGTGTCATTAGCCTGTAGATTCCTTGCTCAAGTTAGTCAGTGTCATTAGCCTGTAGATTCCTTGCTCAAGTTAGTCAGTGTCATTAGCCTGTAGATTCCTTGCTCAAGTTAGTCAGTGTCATTAGCCTGTAGATTCCTTGCTCAAGTTAGTCAGTCATTCATGTAGATTCCTGCTCAGTTAGTGTCATTAGCCTGTAGATTCCTTGCTCAAGTCAGTGTCATTAGCCTGTAGATTCCTTGCTCAAGTTAGTCAGTGTCATTAGCCTGTAGATTCCTTGCTCAAGTTAGTGTCATTAGTGTAGAGATTCCTTGCTCAAGTTAGTGTCATTAGCCTGTAGATTCCTTGCCCAAGTTTCCAGTGTCATTAGCCTGACTATTCCTTGCCTCAAGTTAGTCAGTGTCATTAGCCTGTAGATTCCTTGCTCAAGACGCTAGTCAGAGCCTGGCATTAGCCTTATACATTCCTTGCTGTAGATTCAAGTTAGAGTGTCATTAGCCTGTAGCATGTCTTGCTCAAGTTAGAACCAGTGTCATTAGCCTGTAGATTCCTTGTTGTTCTTCAGTGTCATTAGCCTGTAGATTCTTGACAAGTTAGTCAGTGTCATTAGCCTGTGATTCATGCTTCATGTTAGTCAGTGTCATTGACAGCTAGTCCTTGCTCAAGTTAGTCAGTGTCATTAGCCTGTAGATTCCTTGCTCAAGCTAGTCAGTGTAATAGCCTGAGATTAGCATGCTCAAGTTAGTCAATGTGCTAGCCTGTAGATTCCTTGCTCAAGTTAGTGTGTCATTAGCCTGTAGATTTGTTTTTCAGTGTCATTAGCCATATCCTTGCTCAAGTTAGTTGTCATTATCTGTAGATTCCTTGCTCAAGTTAGCATGTTCTGTAGACATCTATTACGACATTGAACATGTTCTTGACATTCCATGTATTCTTGACAAAAGGTGTGTTCTTGACATCTTCTAGTGTATTATTAACATTTTGTGTGCTCTTGAAATCGAATGTGTTCTTTACATCAAGTGTGTTCTTGACATCTGGTGTGTTCTTGACATCTAGTGTATTTTGACAATAGCATATTCTTGACATCTTATGTGTTCTTGACATCTAACATGCTCTTGACATCTTGTGTTTTCTTGACATCTAGCATGTTCTAGGCATCTTGCTAGTTCTTGACATCTCATGTATTTTTGACATCTAGCATGTTCTTAAAATTAAACATGATCTTGACATTTAGCATGCTCTTGCAAAAGGTTTTTTCTTGACATATAGCATCATGTTCATTAACATCTTTGTTTTTGCATCTAATGTTTCTTAACATCAAGTGTATCTTGACTTGTTCATCTAGCATGTTTTTTGACATCTATTGTATTCTTGGCATCTAGCACATTCTTGACATCTAGCAATTTCTTGACATCTAGTGTGTTCTTGACATGTAGCATGTTCTTAACATGTAGCATGTTTGTGACTTCTAGTATGTTCTTAATATCTAGTGTGTTCTTGACATCTTGTGTATTATTGAAATATTGTGTATTATTAAAATATTATGTGTTTTTTACATCTAGTGTGTTCTTGACATCTAGCATGTTTTAGACATCTAATGTGTTATTGAGATCTAGCATGTTTTAGACATCTAATGTGTTATTGAGATCTAGCATGTTTTGGACATCTAATGTGTTCTTGACATCTAGCATGTTTTGCACATCTAGTGTGTTATTGAGATCTAGCATGTTTTGGACATCTAATGTGTTATTGAGATCTAGCATGTTTTGCACATCTAATGTGTTATTGAGATCTAGCATGTTTTGGACATCTAAGTGTGTTATTGAGATCTAGCATGTTTTGCACATCTAAGTGTGTTATTGAGATCTAGCATGTTTTGCACATCTAATGTGTAATTGAGATCTAGCATGTTTTAGACATCTAATGTGTTATTGAGATCTAGCATGTTTTGCACATCTAATGTGTTATTGAGATCTAGCATGTTTTGCACATCTAATGTGTTATTGAGATCTAGCATATTTTGGACATCTAAGTGTGTTATTGAGATCTAGCATGTTTTGCACATCTAATGTGTTATTGAGATCTAGCATTTTTTAGACATCTAGTGTGTTATTGAGATCTAGCATGTTTTGGACATCTGGTGTGTTATTGAGATCTAGCATGTTTTGGACATCTGGTGTGTTATTAAGATCTAGCATGTTTTGGACATCTAATGTGTTATTGAGATCTAGCATGTTTTGGACATCTGGTGTGTTATTGAGATCTAGCATTTTTTAGACATCTAGTGTGTTATTGAGATCTAGCATGTTTTGCACATCTAATGTGTTATTGAGATCTAGCATGTTTTGCACATCTAATGTGTTATTGAGATCTAGCATGTTTTGCACATCTAATGTGTTATTGAGATTTAGCATGTTTTGGACATCTAGTGTGTTCTTGACATCTAGCATGTTTTGGACATCTGGTGTGTTCTTGACATCTAGCATGTTTTGGACATCTGGTGTGTTCTTGTCATCCAGCATGTTTTGGACATCTGGTGTGTTCTTGACATCAAGCATGTTTTGGACATCTGGTGTGTTCTTGACATCTAGCATGTTTTGGACATCTGGTGTGTTCTTGACATCTAGCATGTTTTGGACATCTGGTGTGTTCTTGACATCTAGCATGTTTTGGACTTCTAGTGTGTTCTTGACATCTAGCATGTTTTGGACATCTAGTGTGTTCTTGACATCTAGCATGTTCTGGACATCTAGTGTGTTCTTGACATCTAGCATGTTTTGGACATCTAGTGTGTTCTTGTCATCTAGCATGTTTTG